GTCCTGGGAAAAAAAACAGCGCCTTGAGAGTACAGTGGACAAACCAATGTGGATTGCAATGTGATTTGTTTTGGAACAATGAGTGAGTGTGATGATTAACATGAGTAACTCCTGTCCTCTGGACTTTTTTTCATTAAAAATTACATTTTATTGATTATCATTTATCTCTTTGAGTAAAATGAAGGAAACATTACTCAGCATTTTTGACAACTGAATCTCATATATATGTTTTTATGATCAAAGTGTTGAGAAACCTGATAAAGTGCAATCTATTATATGGTGTCTGGATGATATATACATAATAAATAGAGCACTAAATTGAGTAACACTGTGATTGGATTCGTGAAACGGTCGTTATACAATACTGACATCCAGTGGTGACATCCATGATTGCATGATGTATTCTGACCACCTGCCGTCTGCCCAGAGAGTTTTCAGTGCTCACACCTACAGTACAAGCCACCCACTCTGCCAGAGCCCCAGTGACAAGAGCAAACACAACTGATCTGATCATGCTCAGCAGGGGCTTGAGAGGGCAAGGGATGTATCGCTCACACCAGTCACATGTTTCTCCTCTTGCCTACGTCATTCTCGCTCTAGCATTTTTTGTATAAAATTTCAGGTCAAAAAATGCAATGAATGTGCCTGATTACATAGAAGGCAGTTTATCATATAAACAATTTCTGTATTGAAATAAATAAATAAAATAAAATAAAACAATATTTACTATTGTAACAAAGGAGTGCAGTAGCAGTGTAAGGAATCTGCAAAGAAAACATGTTATTTAAAATACTTCACATTATAGGCTTTTTTCATATTAATTAGCTGAATGTCAAAGCAACTGTTTGAATGGCTGTCATTACTGTGTGTAATAACCTATATATATATATATATATAGTGAGCGTGGTAGGGATGGGGTTAAGTCTATATTTTTGGACAATAATGTTGATCCATGATCATCAAAAGATGTTGATCCAGGAACATGTCTTACTTGGCAAAATCACGGCGACCATACATATATATATATATATATATATATATATATATATATATATATATATATATATATATATATATATATATATATATATATATATATATATATATATATATATATATATATATATATATATATATATATATATATATATATATATATATATATATATATATATATATATATATATATATATATATATATATATATATATATATATATATATATATATATATATATATATATATATATATATATATATATATATATATATATATATATATATATATATATATATATATATATATATATATATATATATATATATATATATATATATATATATATATATATATATATATATATATATATATATATATATATATATATATATATATATATATATATATATATATATATATATATATATATATATATATATATATATATATATATATATATATATATATATATATATATATATATATATATATATATATATATATATATATATATATATATATATATATATATATATATATATATATATATATATATATATATATATATATATATATATATATATATATATATATATATATATATATATATATATATATATATATATATATATATATATATATATATATATATATATATATATATATATATATATATATATATATATATATATATATATATATATATATATATATATATATATATATATATATATATATATATATATATATATATATATATATATATATATATATATATATATATATATATATATATATATATATATATATATATATATATATATATATATATATATATATATATATATATATATATATATATATATATATATATATATATATATATATATATATATATATATATATATATATATATATATATATTAAGGTTACAATACCATTGTTTTATGGACATTCTAGAATCAAAGAGGGACTTTCCTCTTATTAGACAAATTTTTTAAAACAAGTGTTTGTGAAATTTATTAGCGTTATTGACTTAAAGAACATTCAAAAATGCTTAAGAAAAGGGAAAGAGTTTAAACACAAAACACTGTAAACTGTAAACTGAAAACTGAAAATATTATGCAAACTGAACTACCTGGTAAAACCAGTGACTGCTGTGAAATGGCAGCTGACAACCAGGGAAAGACCTAGTGACAGCTAGGAAAGACTGCTGACAGGAGGGAATAGACCCCATCGGGGCTGGCATGGGTTAGCTACCCATGCCGGCAGGATCTGTCACTACATAGTGCAGAGGGTCCACCCATCTTTGGCTATGAAAACCACAAGAAGAAGAATACCCCTGGAGTCTGCGAGAGCGGGGGCACAAGATGACTCATGGACAGACCACACGGTAACAGACTTAGGAACGGAAATGACAATGAGCCAGGAGAACAGCACAACAGATGTTGGAACAATAGGAAGGACAGGACAAAAACTACTGAGATACATCTGCGGCTGGGCGAAGATAACATCAGAGAAGGGTCTTAAAATCCATCAGGGCAGTAAGAAGTGTCTGAGAGAGCTTAGTGAGGGGCCTCGCATTGACCAATACTTCCTCAGAGGTAGGGCAAATCAATCGGGTGAACCCAGTGGCGGAACAAACACCACAGTCCACAGGGTATCAGAACCCCAGACAAAGCCCAACCAGGCACAAACTTACCTCCACTGATTAACCCAGAAACCACCCAGCCACAGCCAGCAGTAGAAAGGAAGATGGATGGACCTGAGATACTTTGGCCTAAATTCTGCCACAATGAGTGGGCAACCATTGACACAGATCTCGTTCAGCTGCTAGAAAGCCTGAAAGGAGATGTTGATAGGAAACTGGAGAAGATGGGGGAGATTATATACACCTATGGGGCACAAAGGTTGGGAGTGAAAAACAAGAGCCCGAGGTCACAGAAGGAGCTGGGAGGCCAGCCGAAGTCCAGGAGATAACAAGAGATTGACAAACTTGTAAAAAGAAAGGAGGCGCCTGAGAAAACAGTGGAAGAAGGCCACTGAAGCAGAAAGGAAAGGCCTAGAGGTTCTACAGGGCGATATTAAACATCGCCTTGCAATGATACGATGAGCAGAAAGCTTGAGAAAGCAACAAAAGAAGAAGGAGCAAACCAAGACTGCCTTCTATAGAGATCCTTACAAGTTTGTCAGTAGTCTCTTTTGCAAGGAGAAAACCGGTACCTTTAAAGTACTCATAGCGGATCTTGAGGAACACCTGAGGATAGGGGGCTTCTCAGGATGTTTGGAACATGCTAACATGATTTGGCACCAGTTGCAAATGGCCAAAAATGAGAAGAAAGATACATGTGGTGTTCTTATATCTTGCCAGTGCCTTTGGACAGTGCCACAAGCTGCTGTGGGCGGCATTCGAGTTCTTCCATGATCCAGAACAGATAACAAAGTTGATTAAAGCCTACTTTCGGGATCTTGAGGTCTGTATTACCATACAGGATAGTACCACCACCTGGCAGCAGCTAGAGGTTGGCATAATGGCAGGTTGTACCATCTCTCCACTGGCATTCATTCATAATTTGGGTATCTCGTTGGGTGGTTGGAGGGGAACGTTTGCAAAAATGGGTTGCAGCTCCCTCCAATCAGGGCATACATAGATGATATGTCTACCATCACGATGATTAAAGCATGTACTAAGCGGCTGCTGGATAAGCTCCAGGAAAACATCAGATGGAGGTTAAATGGAGATTAAAACCCGAAAAATCTCGCAGCATCTCCATTGTCAAAGGCCGACTTACTAATGATGATTGGCTTTCACCGTGGACGAAGCGGAGTCCAGCCCGGGGTCGTCACATGTGGTTGCCGCAAGCCCGCCGGACACTCCTTCGTCGAATCCGCCGCCTCTGCTCACGCTAGCCCTCCGGCCGCTCCTCACTTTATCCCCCGGCCTCTGCTCACTCTAG